CGCGTCCCCGGCCGCCCCTCGTCGGGCGCACGCACTTTGTGATAAGGCACTAAGAGACGGAGTCAGAATTCTCCCTGCTTTATCCAGAGTGCAGATACTACCCACTGCTACAAGGACTACGGACACACAGAACACGGACTTCTCACTGCTTACTACAGCACTACGTATTTTTAGTTGTGACGCTTAAAACCTAAGAGCACGTACAGGACGACTGCTTTCTTCTAACATCACAGTTTCCTTTTTTTATTTCCCCTCTCCCTTAAATTCATAAACTAAATACGAATATACAGGTATACAGACAAAAAGGGGGTAGAGAGCCTCTCTTCTCCTATGTGATCAGTTCTCTCAAGGTGAGAATTTGTTCGTGTTCACTGTAGTTACTTTTCTGCTGGCAAAAAAAGCCCCGTTTTGTATCTTTTGTGTATACAAATGCGCAAACATTTGCGCACATGCACGCACGCACCCATGCACGCACTCTTTCACACAAGCTCGAATTGAGGTATCTGGGGATGCCATTTTTAAAAACATTCTCTGAGGAACGAACAGTTTTCCTTTTAACTGAAGAGCCCACCTGGAACCCAAACAGTATGAAACTCCTATCTGTATCTCAAGCGGGTCGTGTGAATGTTTTCATTGAGTTGGGTTTAAAGTTGTAATTAAAATACTGAACTTTACCTTAACTGTTACAAAAGGTACACATTCTTTACAGATCATTCAAAGAGAAGAGAATGATTACTTTTTTTTTATTAAAGATGATATTTTACTCCAAAGTACTATATAATATCTTTCTTTAATAGGTATAACATTCAAAAAGAGATTTAAGAAAGGATGAAAATTTAGTTTCCTATTTCACTTGGAAACAAACTTTTGCTGAACGATAGAAATGTACTAGTGTATTGTGAACGACCTATGCTCTATATTTACATATTGCTGGTACCTGTATGCGTATTATTGCCAAATTTTTCAAGCTGTTTTTGCTGTGGTGTGTGAGGCTGTATATGAAATTAACCCCGTATGTTCAGAGGTGTATGTACGCATGCGCACACAACGCATCTTTCCGGCTTACATTTTTTGCAGCGGAGGTCCGATTTAGCAATGAATCGTGAATGGTAACCGACCATACAGATAGGAGTATTCCATCCAAGCTCCAACTTGATTTGTTACACAGTGATTGATAAACATAAAATCCACCCTAAAAACATCCACGGAACACAGGTTTTCCTTTCTAGACAAAGTACTTCTTTGGATACTAAACACCGATGCCTTCAGCACTACCTCCAGACAAACCACAACTTCTGCGGGTTACCATTCAGCATATTTGTGACCCCTACAAAAAATATAGTTACATGTATCATGATAAAGCAATCTGTCATCTAAAAATCATCCTTATTATACACTATACAAGCTATTTTACAATCATTTAATAAATTGCTTTTAAAGCTGCAGTAGCCCTTCCCTTCTTCTCTCAGATCAGCGAATATACCGATTATACATATTTGAAACTATAACTAAATATAAAAATATATTAGGTTTTGTATTTTATCAGATGATCTTTCTTGTTTCTATTACACAAATAATCTGGCCACTTTGAGTAAAAATCAAATTTTAGAGTGGCTTAGTAAATATTTAATTTTTGAGATACAGAAAATTGTTAAGGTGCACGTAGAAAAGGCTACTACAGCTTCTAATGTTTTAAAACATAGTTATCAATGGCAACGAGGAGAGATTCACAAGAGCTATGGTAATCTTATGGCACGCCAGGAACTCGGTATGAAGGGACGCAGCCTTACAAAGACAGAAAGTTTGACGTACGACTCTGAGACCACGCAATCAGTAGCGGAGCTTTCCTGCTCTCCAGGAAAGAGGACGAACCAGTCAGTGACGGGCGGAGATGCGAAAACGGGGCTCTGCCCGGCGGCTCTGGAGCCTGTATATCCAGCGTGCCAGAGCCCGCGCAGCCGCTCTGCTCTGCTGCCTGCATGACGGTAAACATCGCACCGAAGAAAAGATTTCTAGAATCGATACAAGAAAACAGAACAAAACCAAACCACAGGGCATAATTACATGTCTGCCTCCTAAGTCAATGGTATTTTTCCATATATACTCGTATGATGATAGATTTAAGTGTATAGAAAATGTGAGTTTCTCCACACAGAAGTAAACTTTTCTTAAGCTATGCATATTTTCCTGAAAATTTCCTGATGGGCAGTCAGGACTGATCTTCTTGGCATCAATGCAGCCCATGACTCTTATAGTTATGGCTGTTGCATTATATGCAAAAATCAGGCTTTTTTTTTTTTTCTTCAATATATAAAATAACCTGCTCATTTACATCCAGTTAGGACTGGGTTAATTTTTCTATGAATCTGCATATCCAACATTTTTGCACATATACCAAAAGTATTTGTTTCATTCGCATCTATTTAAATTAGATTTGAGAGTGCTCTCCCACCCACCCTGGCCCTTAAAAAATGCCAAATTTTTATGGTCACTTTGACAGTTGAAAGCTATTAGGTTAGAAAAGCCCAACCCATTTTCACACGAATATACTCAAGGATTACTGTCTAGAGGTCATTTAGGAAAGCTATGAGCTGCCCCACCTTAAAAAACCAGCTGTACAATAGGCATCTTGAAGTATTACAAAAAAATTATGTAAGAAAAAATGAACAAGCCTAGTTCACGGTATATAAAGTTAAAGGAAATTGCTAAAACCAGACAGTAATAGCTATAAAAGGCACAACTTCCCTTTTCTGATATACACTTGTAAACTTTCTTCAGGTTACATGCATAAACCAAAATGCTACCTTAACTTTAAAAAAAAATAAAATCCAAAACACTTTACTAAAAAAAAAAAAAATAGCCTAGAAAATTGTCTCCAGCCAACTGCAGAAATTAATTAGCAGAATGTTCATAACACAGCCTCAGATCTTGTCACCGGTGGTTTTGATGCATCCATGGATGTTGCACAAGGGGAGAGATACACTTTCTGACAAATAAGATTTATTTTCCTTTGCTTTCTCCCCAGTTATTTACCAAATGTGAGAAATCCGCTGCTTCTATAGCCTAAATCTTGGCCCTCTGTAAACCACATGTAGTGCATAATTACAAAAGGAACACCGCTGCAAGGACAAAATTAACAAGTTCTGTAGGTTTTTTTTCTTTACAAAAAAAAAAAGCTATCATTTGACGTTTTCTTAAGGCAACCCTTTTGTATTAAGGCAGTCACTTTTGATGAAATAAGAGCTTCTTGATATTTCCATTTGAATATTTTGGTATCTGATTGCTGATGATTTCTGCCAACATTTCTGGGAACTCAATACTCATGGATTTATCCAAAAATGTCTGGAAGCAAAAGCTCAGAAGATTTTCAACCACCTACAAGCGACAAAGCAAAGAATTACTTTCACACGAATACATGCAGGAGAACTATTAACGTCCTTCCTTCCTCCTAACTTCTGCCCACACTGCAAGGCACAGCCCATCCTCGCACCCTGCTCAGATAATCCTTGCAACGCAGTGCAGACATGCATAGTTACCCTCATTTTAATTAGTAAGTCTTGTAAATGGAATTCTAATATAAAACATGCAAACAGCTCGTTCAAGGTCTTCACAAATACCGAAGAGATTTTGTATCACTTCCCATCCTAGCATACAAATAACATACATATGGGTAAGCTTAAGATCCTTCTAGGTGCTTGGTACCCTAACAAGAAAAAAAAATAAATTCTGAGGTCTCAGTTTCCCTTGCTTTATCCAGCTTAAACACTACCTCAACTGCTTTGTACTATACGCACAATTTAGAGTACATACCACAAAAGGAGACAGCCTGAATTCTGAAATTCCTTGCAAAATGAGACCACTACTAACACTAAAAATAGCACTGATGCATTATTTTAATGCAATTTCAAACAAATTCATAGATTCTTGACTAGTTTGTCTCTGAGATAATACTATTTTTAAACTTCACATTTTTGCCACTACTGCAAAATCATATACAATTTCAGAGTTCCTCCATTTTAAAGCAACATCTAGAGACAGAAAGTTACATTAATTATAATATTAATTGGACTCCACTGCAAAAGTAGTCGGAAGGCACCACGTTGACCTCTCTCACTTAGTCTTTAGTTAGGCAGTAGGGGAACATGACCGCCTCCTCCCCCCCGATATTCATCCCTTCAAATAATAATAATTAAAAAAAAAATATAGAGGGGATTACTGTCATATACCCAAACCTATGTATCTGGAGCGTCCGCAGCATTCGTTGAAGAACTTACATCATGCATAGAGTCCAACAGTTTAGTCAGTTGATAAAATCGCTGCCAGTTCTGGCTTGAGTTCCCTTCTCTTTTCACTATGGCCTTTCCCAGCTCTTTAATGTATGTCATACGAATTTCTTCAAACAAAGATTGACTCTTCAGGCCTTCCTTAGGAACTGTAACATGGATACGAACCTTTAAGACATTATACATCTATGAATTGTGTCATTATTTAAGTTCTCCTACATTATTTACACAAAGATGACCAGAAGAAAAAGGACTTGGACTTAATGACAGGTGAGAGACAAGGAATGAGAGCAGAAACTGAAACAGATGACTAGTTGAACAAACAGCATAGGGCTGCTGGCAAAATAAAAATAGCAATTAAAAAACCCAAAGGCAACCCAATAACAATTAGAGGGAAGGGAACTGGACCATGAGGACAACACCACTAAGCCCTGGAAGTGCCTTGACAAGGAAGAACCAGGGCTGGAGCTCCTGTGTCCTCAACGTCTAGGGAAACGTGACATTGGAAAGATTCCATAAAAATTCTGGGTGCCGAGGAATGAGTGAGGATAGGATCACAGGATGGCTTGGCTCAGAAGGGACCTTGAAAGATCATCTAGTTCCAGCCCGCCTGACATGGATCGAATAACACATCCAGGCAATGCAGTAACAGAGAGACTGGACAACAGACTGCCCCAGCCGGGGAGGACTCGAGTCTCAGCAGAGCTTCTTGGAATAGGGATGGGACGTCAAGATAGTGCTGGATGGACAAGGAGCCATGCATTAGAAATTCAAGGAGTGGGGACTGAGGCTTGTATTCAGTCAGACTCAAATCCATGTTCAGTCCCTGTGCCTACGTTCTCCTACTAGGATGGTCCTTCTAGAGGCCAAGGACTAGTAAACAGATCAGGACAAATCAAGCATATGGACTCCAGTTGTCCTTAAGATGCTTGATTTGAAGCCTTTGATTACCTTGGTGAAGTGAACAGAAAGAGCTGAAGATAGAGAAGAGAGAGCTGAGACAAAGACAACAAAGCAAGAAAGAAGGAAAGAGGCCACTAAAGCACATTCCCTTCCTTTAAACATCCAACCCTCACGACATGGTCAGCACCCATGAGATGTTAGAGTGAAGTATCCTGTCTGCCTTGCTTACACAGAAGATGACATCATGTCAACTGTTACTTCAATAATTTACATGGAAAAGGTCTGTGAGCTACATCTATGTGTGAGCAATGTGTCTAGACATACATGGGATTCCTTTTTTACTCCTCCGCCTCTTCTTTTGGACAACTTATACAGAAACACAATAAACAAATTAAAATTGTGAAGTCATGGATTATAAAGCCATATGAATTTCAGCTATTCAGTTTTCAGAAGTTCCACAATGTGCCACTTACACAATGTATGTACTTGAAAAGAAATGTGAAAACACATTGTCTTTCACTGTAAATACAACAAAGAGGCCTTCTGCTAGTTAACGCCAGTGCTTGCCATACTTGACTCGTGAATGGGCTTCATCCTACGAGTGTTGTCTCTTTACCATTTCTGCCATGGAAATTCCTTTAAGGAAATTTCCAATTCCTGTAAGGAAAGTTGGCCTGCACCACATCCAAAACACTTGAGGAATTTTTTGGCGAGATTTCAGAAACTGCTTTAAATCTGCAGTTTCAGGGAAGTTTCAAGTTCCTACAAAGCCCATGGCAGTGTGGAGCTGAAATTTCCTCTGAAAAGAGCCCTTGCCCCAGTTCGGGGCTTGGCAGGCGAGGTCACGCCGTCCCTGCCAGGCCACCGAGGTGAGGGGCCTGGCAGTGTGGGGAGGAGCCGGTCATGGCGGCATGCTGCACCCGATGCCTCTCCTGCCCGCACCCATCACCCTGGGCTTTGCTGCACGCACAGCAACGGCTTACAAGATCCTCTTGCCTTCATCTGGAAAAAGCCCAAAGCTACCAAGTTCTCATTTGTGTTTAAGAATTAATGCTATTATTCACTGTAAATATTAAAGATAAGGAATGTTTAAGCCCTCAGTGTAACAAACCGTTTAAACTTTTAAAAATATTTACTTTTCATCATGTAGAAGTACTATGCCGAAAAATCTTTACTTGCATTGCTGCTTTTACTGATACTTCGAAACATAATGGCATACCTGTCACTACACTAAAACAAAAATAATCTTCTGCCAAGCAGAAGCAGCAGAGGCTCCAGGAAATCCACAGTCGCTGTCTCAGACGCAGCTTTCGCAGTCCTGCGGGACCGCGGGGATCGGCGTGACGGCTGCAGGACGGGATCTCCCCAGCACAGAGGCACACGCCGTAACTGCTCAGGCAGGCTGAGCGGCGCGAGGCGAGGTGCCCAACTCACGCCTACCCGCAGCACACACACACACACACACGCTCTTTGCTACCGCTTTTCCCTGCGCTGCAACGGAGCCAGGCTTACGGCTGAGCCCCGCCGCGCACGAGGAGAAAAAGTCACTAGGTACCAATGCGTGTGAATACAGGGTGAAAACAACACTGTAGAAGTTATTTGCGTGATGTCTTGGTATGTTTCTGTATATTCTAGAAGGACTATTTTGACGCTGTACTTTGCAGTACAGACAACAGGATTTTACTCAACAGTGACTTGTTTTAACTACCGCATGCCCTATCTGAAGACATAAAAACCATCATGTATTACATTATATAAAGCTATCTTATGCTATCTATCAGAAATCCACGATATACTTTTTAGATGCAAATGCAAAAAGCTGTAGCTGTATTTAACAATTTAAATAACTTCTGGGGGAGCTTGGTAACTTTTTGGGGAGGAAACTGCTTCAATGGATCAGAACTTCCTCACAGGTGGTGGTCAGGGTTTTTTTTTTTTTTTCTTTTCTTCTTATTGAAAGCATTTCATGGGTATGAAGTCATAGCTTTGCCCATTTCTTTGGGTCCTGAACTACTTGGCCAATTTGTGATGTATTTTTGAAGACTTTTCAATTGCAATTCTGAGTTAGGCCTCTCTGTTGGAGTTGCAAATTTTGAACACAATCCACAATATCTTAGCGTGAATGTCTTGTATCTGCTAAAAGCAGAACTTCCTTCACTAACCCTATATAGTCCGGTGCCAAGCAGAACATTTTGACTTTTATTGCAAAAAAAGAGGGATTTTATAGGAAATCCTGTATCTGATACCTAACAGAATTTTAAACTAGACATGCGCACCCATAATACTGGCAAGTTAAACTTACATTCTTCACACAGGTATTTTAACTATTCACCTACTTGTAGAGAGGAGAAGCAATGTTTTCATGCAGAGATACTCTTCATATGAAACTTGAAGCCGTGATAGCTCTCGGGCAACCATAAGCATATGTTTGCATTGTTCATACATACAGGGTAGATTCATTCTCTGCCTGAGAAATAAAAGTATAAAAATCAGTTAAATGTCTAACTATCTAAAAATTCTAAATCTAAGTTTTTCCATGCTTCATTCAAAAGCGGTGGGGGTTGCAGAGGCAGATGACAAGCTAGTACTTGATCTATCTCACAGCAAAACTCTCTTTGGTTTTCTCCACTGAACCGATTCAGGGCAATTGCCTTGGTCACCACATATAAACACTGGCCTAGAACTGCAGCGTGAGGGGAGCATGACATATGAAATCCCAGTGTTATAAAGGGAGCTTGTCTTTACCAAGGACTGATCAGTAAGCTCTATTATCAAGAGTCAACACAACAGTTCAGCACAAACTTGCCATAAACATCAAGTTCAGTCACTGTGTGACAAAGTTCTCAAAGTCGGCTGTCCCAAAGGACTTAATCTGTATAAAGAAACATGATGGTATACTATATTAGAGACGAGATTTCTCCAATTCTTTCAATACTTTTGAGAAGTCCACCTAAACTGGATACGTATTTGCTCACTAGCGATAGCATCAGCTTTCCGTAACTTGTCAAATTTCAAAGTGACTTTATACTGCTTGTATTTTTTTATGTTCCTAAAGTGATGCCTAGTATCACAATTAAATTTCATTACCTTTGTACTGCCATAATGTTTCTAACCATAAATGGAAAGACATGTTGACAACCAAAGCAAAATCATGGAAAGCACTTACTTGGGATCAGAATGATAAACATTATGTATTCATATATTCATTTCCTTTTATTTTTTCTATTTTAATGAAACCCTGCATTGAGACAGGAACTCCTCCTTATTTAGTACTTCAGCTGAAGCAACAATCCTCTTTACGTGATATAGGTTACTGTGAATAGCGCAGGATTACAGTTTTGGGTGGGAAATGAACAACAAGAACAGTTTAATTCTGAAGAGTGTAAGAGAGATTTATGCTCTTCCATCTAAACTTTTGTAGGGAACATTTCAAATTCAATGTCTACACAATCTCTCTACAATGATGCTAGTAATTTATTTTTTGTTAATGTGTCACCTTTCCTAAGACATCACCTAGTCAATATTATAATCTGAACAAGAACACAGACAAAATTGCATCCCAGTGTAGTTAAGAGTAAGATTTGGTTATGAAATGGCACCACTTCCTCCAGAGCTGCTATCATTTTTCAGTTCTCCCTTTCTTAGCCCTGCAAGAGAATTATACAATGTACCCTCACAAGCATAATAAGAAACCCTAAGTGAAAACAAGAAGAATCACACACCGTTCTCAAGGTGCAAAAACCTAAGAATAAAAGGAATTCAGATGGGGTTGAAAGACAGAAATAAATACAAGCTATTGAAACAGTATTAAAACCAAATCAAGTACAAGTCTAAACCCCCATAATTTCTAATTACATGTTGTTGGACAATTCCTCCCGAGTGTAACAATGTGCGGCACTGCCTTATACGCAAGTGGTATCTACAGCTATACATGTACGTGCATGTGGATACATGAACCTATGACCACCGACGCTATGTTAGACTTCAGGAATCAAGGACTAACAGCAGTCAAAGTGCACACAGAATAGTTGCAGGAGGTAGGAGTAAGATGTTCAGTTGTAGGATGTTTCTCAGGGCACTTAACACAAAGCTACTATTTGGCCACTTGGCACATTTTCTCGTAACCCTGCTGGGTTGTATCAAAGGGCATCTTACATATTTCAAATTGAGTAACTTAAACACATTCCATGACAAGGCTCAGCAGTTTTCCTCATGTAAAACTATTACCATTTCTGGGCAGAAGGTTAAAATAAACATTATGAAATGGGTCAGCCTGTCATTTATTTCTATCTGCTGTAAATGCAACCATCGCCACAAGTCTGAGAATCTATATGAAAACACACAGATTCTTTGTAATACCAGTCCTCAAAAAATGAGAGTAGAACGCAGCCCCCCCTCCTTTCAGAGAAGCCTGAGCGCACAGATAAGCTCTGCGCTACGCCCTGGAGGGCAGCGCATCCAGGCTGCGTCAGAACGAGAGGGAAGCTGATTCACTGGTTAGTCCTTAATGCTGGCGAAGGGTCTGGGAAGAGGTCCCAGACATTCCCCTCGCAGATCTCCCGGCCAGAGCCCATCAGATGATCTCAGCTGCCACAGAGCTGTGCACGGAGGAAGGCTGTCCGAGGATCCGGGCTGAGCCACGGAGCAGAGACCCAGCGGAGAGCAAGGGGCTTCGGGGCTCTCTTCTGACTCCCTGCCCAGTTTCGCTGGTGCCCCTCCCTACAGAGGGCATTCAACAGCTTTATGAAGTAGTTTACTCACAGATAAACCAGATACAATACTTAAACTAGGTACTATACTTAGCTGATTAAAATCGTTATTATACGCAGTGATGACATCACACGTGATGATTTCTTCTCAGCAGAAACTATCTGTAGGTAGTTCTGTAGAACCATTCTGACTTCATGGGGCCTTCAAGTAAAGCTCTGCCGATGGCCAGGGCTGGTACCCCAGGGGAAGCTGTACGCTCTGGCAGCTGCCTGTACTCCGCAGAAGCCGGGGAGCCGCTGGCGCAGGAGGCAGAGCCCTGCTGAGGCCCGGGAGCCAGGGAGCTCCCCGTGACATGGGGCGGACCGCAGCGGTTCAATGCTTTCGCAGTTATTGCCGTTCCTACAAATCGAGACTTAAAAAGCTGACTGACAGCATTTTATCACTTTTGAAGTGATCCCGCTTTAGTAATTGCAAGTCTAGTCCAGTTTGAATCACCTCCTTGTTCTCTACATATCTAATATTCTGCCGCTTTTGTAACCAGCTACCTCAGAAAAGAGCACGTGAGTCGGGCATTAGCTGCAAGCTTCAGCTCAGTGAAAGCCCATGTAATGCACACGGGATGTACACATGCATTCTGTGCGGGATGCATGTTGATAATAAAAGCATGTGATGATTTTCAACATTGCTGTGAGTCATTCGGTTCAGCTAAGACTGTGAAAATAAAAATCAGTAAACAAGACGCTGGTATTCTGAAAAACAGATGATACCGACTCCACAGAACTAGTTACAAAAGAATGTTTGGAAAAAAATTCTGAGAATAAGAGAACTGATAAAACACTGCTTATAAAACTGTAATCACTTGTTATTTTCTTTCTATTCAAAGAACACCATACAGACATTCAGCATAGTATATAATATTATATGGAGCAATGAGACCAAAGAGATGACCTTAAACTTAAGAAAAGCAAAGAGCTAAGACGATAAGTATGCACAGTCAAAATCCTAAGACAGAGGACTTCCAAGAACTTCTTTCTAAAGCTAGACAGCAATTAAATGGCATTTGCTACTTGAGGAACACAACTGTGCAATAGTTACTGTTGCTCACTGTAATTTCATGTACACTGTGACACAAATAAAGCCCTACTATTACTACAGTAATAGTGCTAACTCCAACAAAAACAAGTTTTCAATCACAAATTATGGAAACAGTTAGACAATAATACAAAAGTACAGGTTTATACAATCTTCAAATATTAAATGATGGTCTAAAGCCTGAGATTTATTAAGCTGCCAAACTTTTCAAGGACTTGAAAAGTATGTGTATATCAGCTGGCAATATATACAGCTGATATACACATACCTCCATAAAAAAAAAACTTATTTCTTGTTTTGAAATGTAAAATGAGTTTACTGAATAGTCACACACTAATCCATTAAAGTATATTATTTCTACCCAGAAATGAAATATAGAAATGTAAATCTAAAGTATTTTCCAAAGCCCTAACTTAAAATACAATTTTGCCCCTCCCTTGACGAAGGGCTGAGTAAGACTCCCCTCTCCCTGCCACCTGCTTGGAGATTAAAACCTGTCAATGGCGGCTCTGTGGTTTTGTGCCGTACAGAGAATTAGCTGGGCAAGGAAATACCGATTTCACACATTCAAGGACTAAGGGGTGCCCGTGCGGCTCAGTGGCAGCTTGCCTACTGACTGACGTGGAAATGGGATCGGGCAGTCATTGCCACCCAACAGATCATCGCCCGTACGGGAGCGCTGAACGTTCCCCCTTTTCCTGCCCAGGTTTGCCAGCGCCAGCTCTCCGGGTCTGGGGCCCCGCACGCTGATCCCTCCCTGAAGGCTAAGGCTCCTCGGTGCCTCCTCGGGTGAGCGTCCGCCGCACGCCGCTTGGATCACTCACCTCCGGCTGCCGCTAGTTAGCTTGTGAGAGGGAGAGAGAGAGGAAGAGGCTTCCATTTCGAGACCTGGATCAACTGCACTAGCCAGGAGTTCAGAAAAAATGGAAGCAGGAAGAATTAATGAGTGACCTGTATTCTTGCAGCGATGGTCCTCAGAAACTCATCTTTTTCTCTTTTTAGTTTTGTAGACAAATCAAAAGCTTTACAGATGCAGCGTAAGCGTATGAAGTGAAAACAATGCTATGTATATGTATGGCGAGCCTTTTTGCACTCCACAAATGCTATGGGAAATAACCTATTTTCATATCTCAGCAGCTTTATAATCCACCCTACCCAACCCTATCAGATGTATTAACTTAGAATATCCAATATGTGATAAACATTACTCAAATATATTGGATGATTTTATTTTTGGTTTTGTTTTTTTCTTTCCCCTAAATAAACAATAGGTGTACAGACATAAAACGGAATATTCAATCAAAATTTTTAGGAGAAAACTGGTCAACCTGGCTGGCTGCCAGCTTAAGACTTAAGAAGAACACAGTTTAATTCTCTTTCCTACCACAGACTGTATTGATGACACTTGCAAAATTCAATTATGGAGGAATCTGCAATGGTACTAATGAACAGTGGCATTCAGCACTACTACAACTAAAGCTACCTGAGCACTTACGCAAAACAAATCCACTGATTTCTGTGAAGCTTTTTGTGCATTCATAGGAAGATATTTATGAACACCAAGGATCTGTCAGCTGAAAATGTAGCATGACAAACCTCTTAATGGGTTAGACAGGTTCTTTACATACAGCCCAGTTACAAACAGTTGCCTGAAAAGTGCCGACATGAGCTAGCGGATCTTGCTACTCCACATCTAAGTAGTGACTACACAGGAATAACACTGGACAGGGTTGGTGCAAGGATAAATGCATGAAAGACTGATGTTGCTCAGATGCTTGAGCAGATTCATGAAACTAAAGAAAGCCTTATTACACCCATGAAGAATTCAATCTTAAAAAAAATCAAAATTTTGCAGCTACGTCCATTTAAATCACCTAGGCTTGGGGAACCCTTCAAAGGTGGAGTTTCTCTTCCTGAAGCTGAAAACACTAAATTATACCAAATATGAGGACAAGTCTTTAAAGCTCACAAACTGAGTAAAACAAATGGTTTCGAGAAACCCATATAAAACCCAAAGAAAATTAAAATAGAGTAACTGTACTTATCTGTAACCATGCAGCTAACAGGGCGGAAGGCACTGTGTACTCTGTTGTTAAGTGTTATTCCCCTGCCCCCAGTAAGGTTAGCTGTACCACCTTCGCTCTCGGCAGCAGACATGAAGTATTACTGACTTCTGTGCAACCACTACTCAGTAACTTATCCTGCACTCACATTCCTGAATACTTCACCTCTGTTATGCTGCTGCAAGCCACAGGTAATGGTGGCACAAAGGATGTGCTCTGAGACCAAGTCCAGTTTATTGCTGTAATGAAGATACAAAGCAATATAAAGAAATGTGAGTATAAGATGCTTGTCTGTTCCATTTCTTGATTTACATTGTATGCAGTAACACCTATACTCTTCTGATGACCCTTTTGAGGATCAATTGTTTATAAGTAAAATTAAAGGATTTGTTTTGGGTGAGAAGTAGGCTAAATATATTTTTAAAAAATCATACTAATTGAGACTTGAATATGTGTAATTCCATACACAGCGAGATGTTTACTGGGTATAGAGTAAGGTGATATATACCATTTTGTTTGATGTGTAAACTCAAATTACGCAACAGAATTGAAAACTCATCCACGTGAATATTTGCCACTATTTTATAAGGCTGAAATGATACAAGTCTGCATGAGGGGCTCATGTGAGGCTTGGAAGTTTTTGCCAACTCCTCACCTTGTTTATACATCCATTTAAGAAAAACAAGTATATCAATCATCAAAAACGCTGTGGCTTGAAGAGACAGAAGACGTCCTGGAATTACTGTATTCTAACACAGAATGGGTAAAGACATCATTTTGTTCTAGTCCTCCACTGACATAGTGCTTTGAAACTGCAATTGATAGATATGAAGCCAGAAAAGTTCTTAGTTACAAATGAAAAATATGCAATTTGCAGATGTAAAAAATTACAAGTTTGAACAACTTACACTTCTTTATCTGCATGCAGAAATCTGAAACTACTGTATAGGAAGCCAAAAATCTGATGCAGACAGCTTCAGTTAACTGTAAAAATGACCATGATCCTGGATTTCAGACAATCAAAATGAAGGTTCTGATTCTGCTGCACACACAACACCAAAGTGCAACTGTATAACTGTATTTAGTGGAATCAAGCATTAAAATTTACAAGGAAATCTCACTTTTCACCTATTATTCCAGAGAACTCACTGTAATGCTAGTAAACATTGCAGTTGTTATTAGAAGTATCAAACAATGGAATTGTTTTGACTTTTAGAGGCTGCTACTTTACCTACTTATTTTATAATGGTTAACGAGTTTTAATAAATATCTGATTCTTACATCAAATAAAGTTAGCTTATTGCTCTACCTTGGACCTGTTTCCAGCATACCTAAAAGACTAAGCAAGAGCTTTCGGGGTGGTGGGGGGGCACGAAGGGTGGGAAGGTCTTGTTTGGGTGAAAAATCTCTAAGACACGTATCAGCAAGTAGCACTGAATGAACCCCAGAACGGTTTTCAGGGGTTATGTACTGCAGTACTATCTTTTGAATGATCTGTCGGGCAGAAAGAGTGGACATATCTGATCATTAAAATCCAACTGTATTTTTTTTTTCCTTGATGTCCATGATGTCCCCCTTGTCCTACCCAACATTTTAGCATCAGCAATGCTTCTCCAACGGCACTGCCCCTCTGGCTCTCCCTGCGGTACTGCGCTTCAGAAGGTTCTCAGAGCTCATACAGTCGTTTTATGTATTATTCAGTATTTACCATGTTTAACTTGGAGGTGGTTGTATTTTATTGATGAACGGTACATAAAAAGTTACGACCAGAGAGAGTTTTATGGGGAACCTGTAGCACACTGGAGAAGAAACTGCAGTTCTCTCAGTCTATGTATTTTATTGAAAACAAATGTCATTTTGATGAACAAGTTATGTACCAAAACTGTAACTAGAATGAATCTGAAAATTAATATTTAGTATAATAGGATTACCCTTGCAGGTTTATGTTTTGTTTGTTTGTTTTTTTTTAATTTAAGGAGTACCAACACACGCTTAACTGTAAAGCTCTGTGGTTTTGAACATTGATAAACCAGCAGGAGACCTCTGACTTAAAGCAAATTAGATGTTATTACGCTTATTAGTGACAATATCAATTACTTCAATTCCACCACATGGAGACTATTTTTCACCAGAGACATATTCTAAGAACTTTAATAAACGTATGTACCCAGATGGACCCTCACCTGCCATCTGCTCCTCACCTTTTTTTGAAAAGTATTCATTATAAAGAAACAATTACAGTTTATAAAAGCCTGAAAAAGTATTTACATTGAAAAAAATGAAGTGAATAAATAATCATGAAAAAGAACTAGCCTGAAATGTAAATGGCTAATCTCATGGAAAATGAACCCTTTTTTTTTTTTCTTTCAAAAACCAGAAAAGGTTTGAGAGATTCGATACTGAAGTGCAAAAGCAACAAAAATATTAAGACTACAGTCTCAAAACATGCCAAAGGGCATGTATTGCCTCCATTTTTAAGACAGGAAAACAGAGACATGAATAATAACTTGTCATTTGCATCACTCTTCAAATTATTGTCATGAAACTGTGATGCTAAAAAAGTTCTGTGATTGTACGTGTAAAAGGTATTATGTAATTGTATTTATTAGTTTTAGTCCCCACAAATGGACTATGCCACTTCGTGAAAAAAAGAAATGGCAAATTGATAGTGATAGCATCAAATTAACTGGAATCTGCAGATGGGTAAACTAGATTTTGAATGGCTCTGGCCAGCAACCTCAAAGATTTACATCCACCCAGAATACTTTTAGCAACTAGTTCAGAATACAGACAAAATGCCTCGACGGGCTCTTTGTAAACACTGCTAGCAGCACTGGAATTGCAGGACTGAGAGATCACCTGAAAGGTTTTTTGTTACAGACTACGCAGATGCTCTCCCGCCTGCTTGAAGAAACCACTCTTTAAAATATGAGCTGAAGGACACAATTGCTGAAATGTCTCCAAAGTAAAAGGCAGGAGAGCATGACAGTCCGTCGGGACTGGCTCCCGAACTGGAGAGGGTTTGCTCTTCAGACTGGGCACAGAAAGGCATAACCTAACCTGGTCTGCTACTACACCTCTGAAATAGTATAGGGAAAGTAATATAACTATGCGTATGTCTGCAAAGTGTTTATACCCACTGAACCTCAAATTGAGCCTTCTGCCCATCACCTCAACAATCCTGAATTCTCTCTTTCACTTCTCTACAACATGGAATTACTGCACAATGCAAATTTGAAAAATACAAGGAAAATGATGCATGGTGCAAGAAAAACAATGTCCAAATATTACAGCAAATTCAACTTTTCTTGAAAATTGATAATGAGGTTCAACAAAAAATACGTCAGACAAGTTTTTCCATCTGTAATCTTGTCTTTTTAGCTGGCGCTTAATCAGGCTGAGATGTTAAGTGTTTATCTGATCAAGGGCTCTGAGAAACTGGTAGGACCATACTATCACTTTTATACAATAAACATACAGAACATTATGCAATTTGCCAAACTTCTCTCTCCATCTGAGACATATTTTTAGCTTCAACTGTGTTGGCTCTGATAAAATGAATGATTATAACGAATGGTGCAGGAACAGTCACAATATGGAACATTTTAGTACAAACACCTCCCACAAAAACATCTTGATATAAATACACTTAATACCTAAAATACCTTTCTTCCATTTGTTTTGTTTAAAAACTCTAAGCAATCTGCTAAAAGAAAAACAAGTTGCAAATAACAGACTGATTTGTGATCTCCACAAGAATTTGCTAGCCAGTGATTCACCTCTCAAGTGCAAAACCAAGAAATACTGCATGAAGTCTAGTATCACGCTGAGAAACCTGGAAAGGGACTCATGTCTTACTTACTCGTTAATAATCAGATCTGGTGCAAAGCACAGGAGATTTCCATTTGATTGTTTATATGATCTCCATCCTAAAGCAAAAGCCATGAGGAACATCCATGAGTACTGCAGAAGGGTCATTTGGTCATCCAGATGTAAATTTCGGAAACCTGAAAAAATGAAGTGTGACAGTAATGAATGGAAAAAACAAAAACAAAAACAACAGAAAAAACCTCCCATAACTTGGCAAAGGACCATGGTTATCATCAGTAGAACTTCTGTATTATCAATGTAGATTATCGCTTTTGAAACTGTATTTGATAATTTGTCTAACTGTGATGGCTGTACCTGAACTAACAACAGAATTTCTTGCCGTATTACGATTATCTGATTCAGTCAAGTATTTTAGATTAGATTTTCGGCAGAAATAAAGAAGAAATTAGAACAGTAAAAGGCTTCTTACCAGAAAGTTCTTGCTGGATGAAAAAAATGCAATTCAAAAGAGGTGCAAAATTTCAATGCCATTTTCCAGCTACTACAGTTACACTCAAATACTTAGTATACCATTTAGGAATCCTATTCAAAATTTGCATACGTAGAAATTAATCGTTTGTAACCATAGGACTCCAGTTACGTCTTCTGGACAATATGACTACGTATGAGACTTGAAAGGTTTGAATAGAAAGCTCAAGTATAACTCAACCTTGAGCTGGTCTGAATGTGTAACTCAACCATACAAAACATACATAACACAGAAAAACAGGCAAAAGAGAGCAACAGAAAGAGAACTCTTGAACTTTGCATTAGACATTATATTCACACTTTCCTAGATACATTTAAAAATAAATTCTCAACACCCCATCTATGAAAGTGCATGCACACTGAAAGCCTGGGTTTCAGTTAGTTATGATGTTAGTTATGTTCTGGACAGACAGAGTACCAGATGAGTAAGTCTCGATAGGTACTACAGGTAGTAAAAAGGGATGTAACATTAAATAAATATGAACATATGCGTGTGCTTATCTGGAACTGATGGTCTGTTAGATAGATTACAAAAGACAGCAATTATATTTAATATACACTATAATTCATTGGACTATCTTCCAAAAATAACAGTATTTTTTACTTTTTGTGAGAGCAGTCCACTAGACAATAAATGGTTTAATGTCAAATTTTGTTCTTATTCAACAATTGTACACTGAACTTACAAAATATGTATTGCATTAGTTACCATCATTAACTGTTTCTAATCTTATAAGAATATGTAGCATGAACAGAGACAATTAAACAATGAAGAAATGCGTAAAACCTGAAAACTGGTCCCTTAAACAGTCACAGAATGTAGGCAGCTTTTAATTTGCAACACTAGTTCCTATTAGAACCTGCCTACATTTAGCAAGAAAATAATTGTGCCACATTGAATCATTACTAAAGTCTGAATTCAAGTTGATTTTATTTAATTTTAGTAAGCATCTGACATCTAAGAAGCCCGTAACAGTGCTGCTTCCTGAAGATGTGCAAATAGATAGCATTCAGTAGGTTAATATATAATAAAACTTCATATGTCTAACAACAAAAAAAGCTTCTGGCTTTGGAGACAGCAGTAACTACGATTTACTACTTCTAAAATACAAATAAAGTGTTTCAAAGCTATTTCAAACTTACTGGGTCAAATCTTGAAATCTTTGCTCAAACCCTTCTCAGGAAAAGGCTGTTTGGAAATCCCAACTGAAAGGTTTGGGAACCAACGCTGGCTTACTGTAAGTATGTCTGATGGTCTACAACCAGTAGACGTATATATAAATTAAATACTCACAAAAACCCACCTTATCCACCAAAAAAAAAAGATAAAAAATTGTAAGAATAGTTCCTATTAGTATAATTATTAAAGACTGGCATTTTCATTAAGAGCATATGTTCTAACCTGAAGAGTTTGTCTAATTAGGGAAACTGTTCAGAAGAGATTATGAATACGGAATTGTTTTATAAAAACGGGATCTAAATTTGTATTTGCAAATACCAGATGGTCTCCTGAAGAACTTTTCCTAACGTAAGCTAAGTCAGTGTAACGTCCCATTGTGGAAAAGCCCTGACAGACATACAAATCTCTCTATTCACGTCTCTGCTGGACATACATACATATATATCTTTCCTACTGCTAATTTATTTACCCCGCCTCAAAAGAGACACCATTATGACTCAAATTTCATTATCAGACTTTTTTTTTTTTTTTTTTTGCAAACCCGTTATGTGATGCTATTCTTGGGCAACATATGCATTAGGAGGTGTTTTTGCTAGTTTTTTGAAAACAGGTAGCTAGTGAAAGGGAGAAATCCACTAGTCTTTGTCAGGAACAAACAGATCTTCAGCTTTACTTCCAGCTCTGGCCTCCCCCAAAGACATACTCTGCGTTATGTCCAAGGCTGAGATTTGACATCGCTGCTTCTGCAAGGCACTTGCTAACTGCGTCTTCGGGTGGGAGCCAAAAGAGCAGCAAACCTTCCACGCTCCCCAGGTGGCAGTCAGTTTAATTGTGTAGCTACAGTGCTTGTGAGAAAATGAACATCTTGACTTCCACCCTGGAACTGGACACCTGTACGCTTATTCCCAGTCAAAAAAGCCTACAGATCCAGTGAGGCATAGTAAAAAAAAGAACCATCCATGACTGCAGACCCAGAGAAGCCAGTACAGCAGCACCAGTCTGTGAAAGTCAAGAGAACCCCATTGCTAAAAATATTGAGGAAATAATTATCTCAGAGATGTGGCTAGAGCTAGTAAAAATAGTTCTGTGTGTTGCTTTTAAAAACAAATCTCTATTTTAATATTAATTTTAACGCTCAATGTTCAAGGGGTTGAAGTAAGATGACCTAACTTGTAATCCTAGTAAATAAATTTTTGCATCTGTGTTTTTTCTACTTTTCTACTCCATATGTATTTGAGACATGAGTTAGCTCAGATATTACTAAAACTTCATCTGCGAAGGCTTCGAAGGACACCAAAGACAGATTTTAAGTACAATAAAAAGACCGCACTTCATAGTTAATGTATTTGCATTTTACCTGGTATTGCCTTTGCCCACTTCACTGCAGCTACTACTTGCCGTCCTCCCAACATGTTGAGAGTTGACAGTATGCGCCAGCTGGAGTCGGGCAGCGTGCTGTCGTAGCCCGAGTATAGCACCTCTGGCTCGATCACTTCCAGCAGGGAAACCAGGGTCGGGGTCAGCTGCGGCAGGGACGCAGGAACGATGCTCTTGTTCCCAGGCGTTTCAGAAACATCCCGCGTTCCCGTTGCGCTGGTCTGCTGAATGCCTTTTATCTTCTTCTTTGTTTTTCGAGCTAGGGAAGTTTTGGTGAGTCACAGGTTAGATAACAGAAAGTGACCACACAGCAATAAAAACCTAACGGAGGAAATGCTGCTTTCGTTTTCCTGCACTTGTAGATCAGGCAATTGAAACTTTTAAAGCATTTTTTCATAAAACTGTATGTAATTTCACATTAATTCTAATTAAACGTCTTGTGAAAATAAGTTTTTTTTCAAGTTTTAATGAAAGTCACATTTATGTTAATGTTTCAAAACGTTAAAGAACATCTGCAGGTACGTTGCAAGGCTGATCTTGAAATACAAGACCTGAACCTACAGTTTCCATTACATGCAAAATTTCAGTGAAACTTTATGGGACAGCATGACACCTGTCTGGAAATACTTGCAGGACCATGGACTTTATAAGTTCCTTAAAATATTAAGTATAGAAACCATGTAGAAGAACAGAAAAAAAATTACATTTAATGGGTAAGAAGTTTCTCAATCTCTTGAGCCAGGGAAAACATTTTTTTTGAAAATGCTGGGCAGGAGGAGATTTTTCTCTTGCCAACTGTCTTGCATATAAATCACTGCTGTGTAATTAAACCATAAAACTCATATGCCAGCTAAATAAAACATCACAGAGAGATGTTAACTGTGAACTACAAAAAGTTGAGGCAACAATTTTATTAGCATATTGTCAATAATGGAGTCTCCTACTTGGCTTCCAGCTCTCCTGGATGCAGTCTGCTAAACTGAACACACTATTTAACAGAGACCAAAATGAAACCCAGTTCTTTTCCTGTGTCTCAATTAATTAATTGATTTCTGTTCTGGAACTTCCAGGATAAATCAGTAGCACATAAAAGCTTCATGTAATGTGGTTTCACATTCAAAGTTTCTACTGACCTATTCAGAATCTCTAATGATCAGAAATGCACCAACCCCGTATCTTAAGAACATATAAAATCCCCCTCCCGACTCCGTTCCTCACGCTGGCTAGGCAGAGACTTTAGAAACGTAACAGCTAAAGATAAACTCTCTATGGATCTTGTATACATCAAATTTTCCCTAAGGCGTATACACTGGGCACATTTGCCCAGACTGTCACAAGGGAATAGCAACAGTTACTTCCTTGGAGCAAAGGCTTCTTGTTATTCTCATCTGAATTTTGAAATGGCTGATCAACCTTCTGGCATTTTTTGCCCCATTATCCTTATTCTCAAAAGCAAATGGAATGGCTTTGACTTAAATTTACATGCACATGCCTTCAGCTTAATGCAGACACCTGGTATGGAGTATTTTCAGCCCAGAAAGTCTGAAAAATTATAATCAAAAGAAATACATCTGATAAGACAAAGTACCATGCAAGAATTTTTATTAGGCTATGCTACTATACCTGACTTAAGACATATAGTTGTAACTCACAAAAAAAGAAGGTTGAGATAATTTATTTCTTTACAATTTATTTTCAAATATAAAAATACCACAAATTTAAAGCCAGCTCCTTCGGGCAAATTACAGAAGATAATCCATACAGATAAACTCAGAATGGAAGTAAAAGCAGCCGAGGTTCTTCTGTTAAAAACAAACACCCCCCCACTCCCTCAAAAAACCCCAAAACCCAAGCCCCCTGCAGTTTGGCATCTAACGAGGCTGTACAGGCTTCCTATTTCGTGGCACACATTTCCTGCCCACTGGGCAGAAAGCCTGCGCACGTGAACCGCGCCGGCACTTCACCATCCCGGGAGGTGATGAAACGTTCCCACCACCACGCTGGAGACCAAACGCTGCCAGACAGACATGGAGACCACACACCTCACTTCTAAAATGGGATTTATAGTGACAAAACCCACTGCAGTTACAGCGCAGGGCAATAAATACTACTAGAAAGAGGAAGAGATCCTTCAAAGAATTGAAATAAATTCAAAATGAAGACTGCAGAAAAAAACCCATAAATTGCCAACAGTTTAACTATAAAATGCAGTATGAAATGCAAAAAATATATAAGATTACTTTTTACAGGCATAAAACCTAACAGTAAAGCTTTTCTTCAAACAAAGAAAGAGAAAGGGTGAGAAAGAATGCCTAGGGTCAATTAATGGTGAAAGCAGAAATGAGAATTCAAAGAAATAAAGGCTGTAGTAAAAAATATCATTATTCTACTGTAGAAATCTCTGGTACCTGCAGCTTGATAATTGTATCTTTTTCCAGTCCCCCACACCCAAAAACCCCATGCATTAGAAACAAGAAAGTTCCAGAAAAGGATGATAAATAGGGCTAAAGGTATGACTGATGATAACACAGACTATAACAGAAAATTATCTAGTAACATGTTTCTAGTGTACAAGGAGCCACTTTTGTCTCAGCATAAGAGAAGGTAAGAATTAAAAATATTGCATGGTAGATTTATTTCATTTATTTTTTAAAAAATATGTTAAGACTTCTACCCAATACTGAACACTGCCATTCACTGTAAGTACTATGAACCTAGAGATATTCAGAATGCGACCGGACAGATTCGTGGAAGACGTCTATCAGCAAGTTCGGCGAAGTAAAAGGGGCCTGCAGACTGACATGCTAGGATATTTTGATCTCTTGCTATTCATTAACTAGTTTGCTTATAACCATTATTTATGCACTGAGGATATACTTGATTTCGAAAAGTCGTCACTGTCTAAAAAGCATGCAAATTTAATTATCTTTTAACCAACAGTAAATCCTGAACTGCGTCCCTAAAATAGCCAAGATAAAAGGGACTCTTTTCTGTCTCTTCTGCACTCTATGCTGCCTTCCAGTTTCGTTTTCTACAAGTTCTTCTGTACGGCCAATTCACCATCTGTTCAGATCTGTCCAATAAATCGTTGTTTTCGTGGTTGTTTTTCACTGTTTCACGCTACCTTGGGTTCTTCCATTTTTGTGTTGCTGAGTTTCTAGAGCTCTTTTCCCTCTCAGTCAGAAAAGCTTCACCCCCCTTTTCTAACAACCTATATAACAATATCCATCCTCCAAAAAGTCACTATTCTCTAGGATTTGCTGTGCCAAAATTCAGGCAAACAAACTATAGCTGGAAAGGCTCCAAACTACATGCGGGAAAGTGGCAAGTATCAGACGTCATTCAATTTTAATTTTCTTTGGTGCAGAAAGGCAACTCAAATAACATGCCCGAGAGTCTGAGACAACTATATGAGTGCCTGCTTTAAAAAGGGTTTACATAAATTGATGCAGGCAGGGAAAGGCTTACTATTATCGAGTAATACACATAATAAGCTGCTTTATTCATATAGATAAATACATAAACATGATATATGTATTCCGAAAACAACTATGGAGAGAAAAAACAGAAACAAGTCTTAAAACAAAATGTATTCTTTTCCACCTCAAAATGAAAACTGTGCGTTTGTTCATTATTCTGAACCTTCTTTAGGCTTTACTGTTACCTCTGCTCGCTACTGGCCACACCAGCCCCAGCAGGACATTGCACCTTTCCACCTCAGACACCAAGAGTAGGCAAGCGGACTACCCTGCTATTATCTCCGAAGGGCAAGGTTCAGCCCACTGGGAGTATCCGACAAGCTAAATCTAGCTCCGGGAGACACTCGTTGACAGCCTCATGTACTTCAAGGATTTATTTTAGAACCCACTCTTACAGATTTTGGCTGTTAAGAGATGTACCTCACTTGCCGCACACAGATCTTGTCAACAAACCAACCAGCAACCTCCTCCGTTCCCTGCAAATCTCTACCATGAAGTATGGAAAGTATTTGTAAGCACGTCAAAGGAGAGGAAGCATTTCAGATCGTTGGTTTTTTCCCTTTGCTCTGAAGGAAGGGGCATGTAAAGCCACCTGCAGGGCAGAAAAACTTGTGATTTGTCCTCCTGAGAGAGCTTGGAAGCAGAGGAGGAAGAAAAGACATGCTAACATAGACTCTAATATGTGTATCGTCTACCTCTTTAATATAATTCACCACTTCTATTTTACCAAAGGATGTCACCACTGACTGAAATGAAACTCTGTTCATATTTGTATCTGACAAATACACTTTTGACATTTTTATTTTATCTGATAATTTTGATTATACAAGTATCACCATGATAACTATGTTAGTAAGCACTGGATTAATCTTTACAGCTCAAGGAAAAAAATACCAAGCATAAAACATAGATAACACTAATAAAAATGTTTTATGCCATTTTACAACTGCTGCTAAATCTCTAGTTGATGTGGTCTTCAGTTTCTCATAAGCCATCCATGACTTAGCAGAGAACAAATATGTACTGGTACATTTAAATTTATTTAACCTATCTTTCTACAGAGATTCTGACAGACATTTAAGAAGAATCCACAGCATGAACAAAAATAATTTCCTTTTCTTCAGTATGAAGATGTAAGCCCCACTCCCAACTTCAGATCTGTGTCTCTGGGCTTTCCCTCTCATCTGTGGTTTCAGTGTCAAGTCACTCTCCTGAGTAAGGATGGGCAGGCATCACACTTCCCAACAGGAGTTGCACTAGAGTTCTGCTGTCTTAGATTCAGTGAAAAAGCAACAAGATACATGTGCCGATAGGAATAAAAAATAACCCTGTTTTGTGTGTGGGACTCACTTCTGCTGAACATACTGAGAGATAGAGCAATTGAGTATGGATAGGAAAGTATAGGAGAAAATTTAGCGTAAAAAAATCATGCTTTTTATTAAAATGCAGCACTTACTTTTAACATATGAAAGAGCTGCTCAAATAATTGCCTTAGCTTCATAAGCAGCATGGCCTTTGTTGTCTAGGACTCAAAAATATAAAAGGGATTTGAACATTTTAAGTTACCTTCGAGGTTCATGCCAGCTTGAAGACATTTCCGGTAGCGGCAGGCTGGACAGTTTTTCCTCCGAATTTTGTCAATAATGCAATCGTTTCTCCCAGCACACAGATAGTTGTGCTGCCCTGTATTCATGAAGACAAACAAAATAACCGTAAGCTCTACAATTAGAGTAGTAGATGAAATTAATTCATTCTTTCAGTATCGTTAAGGATCTGGGGACTATATAATACCTTTACTTACTGTAGTTCATTTCTTGCAAAAATAAGATCAGTTCCCCTATGATTTCATGTAACTATACACCAAACAGATTTCTTGTATTTAGACACCAAAGCCAGTAAATTTAGGTAGAAATCCTATTTTTCTATGTTAAGATCAGGCAAATTCTATTTTTAAAACTACTTTTGTCTTACATTTCTCAAAGCCATCTTCTATAGCATGTTTCACATGTTTCATAAACACATTTTGAAAGTATAGATGTAAACATCTCTACAGATACACAGACATAGCTTTCGTCATTTTGAAAGTCATGAAGCCTCCTCCTTCTTTAAACTTACAGTGTGAACTGGACAAACCAAGATCTCTGACATTTTTATGGATTCACAGATTCAGAGCAAAACTGACCCTAGAAATATGGCAACTTGAACCACATAAATTAAAATAACTGTATTTCTTAGCTGTTAAGAGCAGGGCAACAGAAGGCTAGTATCCATTCTTAATTATTTGAATTACAGGAGTAAAAGTCTCAATGTAACTTACTTAGAGAAAGGTATTACTATAAAGATATATTCTTCTCCCAGACAGGGATCAAGAAACATGTTTCTTTAGAGGGCAGAAAGCTGCAACCTAGGCTTTTACACTATATTTCAAAGTCCTGACAGTATAACGTTGCGAGACACAAACATATTTTCCAAATACTGAGTTATTAACAATGGAGGTTGAGTCTTCTCACACAAAAAGAGCTTGTTAATGGTTTGGTTTCTTGCATTTACTACTTACCTATTCTTGGCTTTTTTAGGTGAAAGCTACACTGTTTGTTTGTATTGCACTATATTAAAGCCTTCCTGTCACATGAACATTCTGTGGAAAAATGAAGGGAAGTTGACACCACCTTCTGCTTCATCTCTGACTGCTGCCCAGAGGACACACCAGTTGCACAAAGGAATGCCTTTGAGTTATCTTTGCTGCTCAAAACCCAAAGATACCTCACAAGCAATACACTGGTAAAAACTGGTAGTGAGCAAACAGAGATCTTTCCAAGGGGATTTACAGCAGACGGGCATTTACAGAGAGGTCGGACACCCTTCAACATTGCACCATGTGCAGCACAAGTTGACGCCTGGGGCTCTGAAGTGCCACGAGACTGAACGAGTCTTTGCTCATTTGAGCACACCGGTATATAAAAAGGTTAGAAATTGAAGACAAAGGAATTTGGGAGATGGAATGAAAAATGCTGAAGAACAAGGACAAACTGGAGCACAGCAGGAGGCAGAGGTGTGGGGGGAATCTGAAGTGGAGGGGAGGTGTGAGGATCTGAAGCAAGGTGAGCGGAGGTGGGGAGGATGGTAAAGATCTGGGTTGGCAGCAGGGTGGGGGTAACATGCTGGAAGGTGAACAGGGTTGGTTCTGGGACCAGAGAAACCGAATCATGAGAGCTCTGAAGCTCTGAAAATAGGAACTAGAACAAGACGGCTTTGACTACCCTGGGCCCGTTCGCATGAAGAACTGCATATAAATATACAGTTGCTGTCCCACCTTCATCCTTCCTCTTCTCTAGTTCTACTCTTTGCTGAAAGAAATACACTTTATATTGATTTTCTATATACTGATACTTTCAGTTTCTGTGACTATTTCCATCAGAGTACACATGCATGTAGACAAAGGTACAAAAAAGGGTGTCAGGCTGAAGGCTGGTTAACCAATGTGCAGAGTCAGCTTGGTTGGTATACTAACAGGTGCCTGGCAGCTATTAGTAAGAAGGATATTGTGGAAACAAATTCTTTTTACAGATGTTCCTGATAAGAAAAATTCCTATAAGAGACAAAAGCAAATTATTTGTTCCTTAAAGTGAATATTGGAACAAACAGATCCTGGAAGAGCTCCTGAAAACATCCACAGTGTCTAATCAGAAGGATTAAGGTTGGGATAATCTGTGGAACAATAAAAAAAAAAGTGGAGGTAAGTCAAGGAATGTATTGCAGTTTTTCAGCTACAAGCCTGCTTACGCTTTTAACAGTAATACAGTTGATATAAGATGTGGCAAGCTGCATCTTACTATTGGGTTGATTTCTTCATGCATCAGTACTTCTGTGATTTGTTTAAGCTTGAGGACAGGCAAAACCATCACTATGACATATATCCAGCTGCCATATAATACTACTTCTGAGGGATATCCAATGACCTTATTTTAATCAAAGATACAGATAATTATTTGCTTCAAACAAAGAGCCTGGATCTAAATGGGAATGCAACTCCAGACAGGACCAGTTGGGAGTCACAGAGAACCCAAGCAGCTCAGTGCTTTGCACTTGAGCTCATATTATTTCTTGTTATACTTCAGGAAGAGCTTCAGCTTCCCACAGAAACGGCATCCTTCTCCCTTGTGACCAGCAAAAACAGCGATATGAATCTGACTTTCCCGATCCCTCTGAGAGGCTCTGCATTTCCATGCAGCTCCCTACTGCATCCAGTGAGCTGGGAATTGGGAGAAAGTGCTTCTTCTGAACGGCTGAATGGCAGCTCGTCTTTTCTTCTCCAGTGAAACCCAACTTGCAAAAATGTTAGCAAAAAATGATAGTCTGATTCACTTCAAAATACCCAGTAATGACTGCATGAAGAAAGCACGAGACAGGAAACCCTGTAAGGCTGTAACTAAGAACAACATAATTTCGGAATAGAGGAACTGCTATCCTTTCAGAGACACTAAGAATATACTCTAACTCTTACGCATCTCTCCGATACTGAAGCAGAGTCAGACATCGAGCTACAATCTAGTTCTTTACAAAATGGCTACTTGTGCAGCCCCAAAAATCACAGACTACTTATTCTGCTCTACACACTACAGATTCACATTTATGACACGTGATCTCTATTTTCCAGAATGATTTTCTTCCTGTGATTAGAGAGAAATCTCAATGATCCAAAACCACACACATGTTTCTGTTACCTAGTTACCCCTGCAGACAACACACATGGACATGTATGTAATTTAACCAATATTGCTTATAGGAAAAATTGTAGAACTATCATAACCTTGCATACAACAGATTCATACGCAGTTTTACATACAAAACAGCGAAGATTAAACTTAAAAATCACAAACTTTACAATACTAATGCACATAGACAAATATCTCTATATAAACAGGACAAATAAACAAAAACAATAATGAAAGAAAATGAAAGAAACAAAAAGCCAAGACGACAATACACCCTTTTACAGTGTGAGTGAATGGGAGCATTTTATAAATGTAAATGGAATCTATGCTTCAGATAATACACCGTTATCAATGTTATTTACTATGAAAAGATCAGCGATACAATGGATGGGCTTTTCCAGTAGGATTCTAGAAAAAAACATGGATTCCAATAAGATTAAATAGACTCCTTTTGAACATGGGTAATATGTATGTGGATTTTATATTTTTAAACAGCAAATTTATCAAAACACATCTTACCTTCCACAGCTCTTTTGAAGAACACTTTGCAGCTGCCACAAGTAAGAACACCATAATGACACCCAGAGGCCTCATCAGAGCAAACAAGACAAAGCTTGGGAGGTGGTCCCGTAGTTGCTGAGGTTGTGGATGGAGAAGAACTTACATCTGATCTCATTCCAGGACTAAAAAAAAAAAAAAAAAAAAGGCATAAAAATACTTTATTTAAGATCTATGGGACACTGGCAAACATAATATTCATAACTGCAAGAAATGGACTGCCCTTATCGTCAAATATTATAGTTCTGCATGCAAATTTCACTAGACTCTGAAACAGTTAAACAATTAATTTTGTAAAACGTATGTAAAGCTGTATGGATTTTTCATGGCCTATTTGACTTGGTCAGGATTACTTCCCTGATGTGTCTCTGAAGCCAAGTTTCTTGCACGATTATCCTAGCCTTTAAAACTGACTCTTAACATGCACTCTCATTCCATATTGTTTTCAATACTGTCACATTCCCTGCAGTCTGCATTGAGTCCTGCAAGAGCGTCCTTGCCAGTATCATCACAGATGATGCTGGGATACTATTATGCAGGAAGCTGTGCACATTAAGCCATATATTTATATATATTTACAGTAACAAATGATCATTTCACCCCAGCATTTTAGGAAAGGAGTATCTATTCCTCGTTTCAGGACTGAGTTTTCCTATGTAAACGTACAGGCCATCTACAAATGAAGGGCTACTTCTCTAGCAACAACAAAAAGATCATTGTTAGAACAATAAATAATGCATTGTAATCACCTTCGAGCTGCTTCTAATCATAAGGGCTGAACCAACAGTGGCTCTGCCAAAGTTCAGAGGCTAATCTTATTCAGCACGTGTAAACAACATAGCCAAAACCTGACACGTTACCTGCTGGAGGCTGCCTCGACACCTCCTATTAGAAGGCCCATTTTGTTGAGTTTATTTTCATGAAGTTTTAAAGTGTTAAGATCCAAATGATATCCTGTATGCTTAACTTAAAGTGATTTTCACAGAAAATTTTGTCCAACAGGGTTCCAGCCACTTTCCAGATGAAGCTAGAAAGTAACACTTTAAGACTTTGGTGCCTTTACTCAGAAACTCTCCAGAACATCCACCCTCCCTAATGTGGGCTGGCTTTTGCATGGAAAATTCCTTTTCCTCTCCTCAAGAAAGTCTGACCAGATTTGGTCACACATTTAAAAAAAAACCCCATCGCTCTCAGTCAGTCACAAAAACTTTAAAATTCCAGCCCAAATTAAAACGCTACGATACCTGGGAGGCTTTACTTTTGAACAGGTCGCCTCCATAGGCCCCATCCCCAAGAGAGCAATAGAGAAATGGTCCATCCGGCAAATCCACGGACACTTGCTGTTGCGTTTGCTCATCCTGGGAGGGAGTTAAATAATCAAAGCAGACACAAGGATCGGGAATCCTAGCACTCAAACACAGAGGGATAAAAGTCAAACCAGAATAAACATGTCAATGAAGTCCACACTTTGACAAATATGGAACCAGAGGGCAAAGTAGTGAAAATTACTTGTGTTAGGGAAAAAAAATGAGACCGTACAGGCACACAAAGACCTAAGGTATGTGTAGATCGCCCCTAAAAAACAGAGCCTGCCATGAGCTATGGGAGAGGGTGACCTGTATCTAGGCCAGAGCAGAAAGGGCTGAGTAGGAAAGTAAAAACCAGACAAGAACATAGCAACAGCTCGAACATGCTGGAATAGCTGTGGGAAGAGAGTGGAGTAAGACCAGAAAAAGGGTGGTGCGAAGGCTTCAACAGGAAAGGCTGGCAGTGGGAATGAAGTAGAATGTGTCAACCTTGAAAAGGGGAAGAAAAAAGCCCATCCAGGAAAGAACGCTTGTTTCCAGAACTTGGAAAAGAACTCAAATCTGTCACATCGCTCCCTTGCATTCAGAAAATATTTGTGAAATGCTGCAACACTTCTACCGTATTACTCTACAAAGAGGCTGACAACCATCATTAGCTAGTCTGTCAACTAAAGTGGCAGTCACCGATAGATGCAATCCTGTTTACGATGATATAATGACTTTTCTGTGTTTTCTAATTAATTTGTCTTCTTTTAAAGAGTGGAAAGCTATAATAAAATACTAAGGTTGCACAATCCAGCACTCAACATACAAGTTATGGCAGAATGCAATTCAACCTAGTTACATTTATTTGATGTCCTTACAAACACGCATCTTTAACTACGTGCATCCCAATTTCTGCAAAGCACGTCTGCCTTCCTCAGCACAGAGGCGCTCTAGGAATAAATAATGTAATGATGGAAGCTGCCGTTTGCATGGCCCCATCTCATCTGATCTGAAAAATCAGCTGGTAGAAGCTAATAGCTATGGATTTGCAGGAAAAGAAACTTCAAATTCAAGTCTACTTCTGCCTCTCATCACAAAGCTCCGTGCAATGGTATTTGGTTAATACAAACCAAACTTTTCAGAAACAAGCAGTCGGTGTGTTCCCTGCCGCCTTAGTGCACAGCTTGAGATCTGGCACATACTTTGAAGACAGACACGCTACAACCTCAAGTCACGAGAGCCATGCTTTGAGCCGAGTGATGCCCAGCTCCGCTGGTTGAACAGACCCTTCCCCACCGTGCCACTGGAACTGGTGCACTCGTTCAACTCCACATTCGGTGAGGGAAGGTCTCTGTGCCCTTTGGGCTGCCTCAGGAAGCACTGCGCAGACCCCCACCACTGCCAGAGCAGTTCCCGCACGGCGTCCCGGGTGCGGGGCTGCGGCGTGCGCACCTCCTTCCCTCCGGGGCTGGTCTCTGTGCCTCTCAGATTTCAGAGGGAATCCACAGACGAGAGGGCAACCCCAGGCTTGAGAACCCAGACGTGGTTCTCTGATCCCTCACAGCTTTCCTGTCTACTTAGACAAATAATTTGTACTACAAAGCTTTGCTTCCTTTCATGCAATACATATATTACTTCCTTCTGTTGTTTGTTTGGGGTTTTTTTTCCAGCTTACTGATCCATTTGGAAAAAGGCATTAAATTGTAGTATCATAGGCACAAAAGAAGTATCAACACTCACCTCAAAAAAACAAACAAACAAAAAATCCTAATCAGTAATCACTGACAAGTCAAAACCTACCATAACCTGCCTTATTTTCTCTAAAGTTTTAGGCCCAGTAGCTCCTTTTCTTATGCTAAAAATCTCAGTTTAAACATTGAGATATAGGCTGGGAGCCTATGATTTTAAGTAAGGAATGTAGAACTTGAGAATTCCATTTCATTAAAATGATTAAAACCAGAAAAAAGATGGAAACATCTTTCTATGCATAGTTTCGAAGACAGCTAATTTAGATACAAAAATTCAACTCTTTATAACTAACAAATTTCCAACAAAAGCATTTTTAAGGAAACATTCATCAACTGTCATAGAAACTATGGTAGCACCAAACATATTCCACTCAAAACTTTTCAATCACCATTCATTTTTTAAACAGGGCTCATTTGCCATACCAGTACCACAGAAAATGTAAGATGAGAAAGAAAATACATTATATGACTTACAAAACTAAAAATAAATTATTACACTGATTAATAAAGCAGTAGCCAGCAATCTAATCTGGGCTTCTGGCGTATCTTTTCAAGCCTGGCTGTATCAGATAAGGCCAATATTTACTAACCCTGTGGAGAGCTGCCAGACACCAACAGCCCCCTGGTTGTGTAAAACACAATTTTGCTTGCCTGAAACACAGAACAGGAGGGATTATAGTGCATAAGGACTCCTACAAGAGCTACAACAAACTGGCTTGAGGTTTAATATAAATATTTTACCTATGAAGTTATATGTAGTAAAAGACAAACAACCACTTCCTAAGGAAGAGGTAAGGGAGGGAAGTTGCACTCTGAGATAATATAATAATAAAAAAGTTACATTTCAGTTATTTGCAGAATTGTTTTTAAACTCAACAAAAATGTAACAAACTATGATTCTTATCTAAATAAAAGAAAAAGTCAAGCAGCACAGATGGGAGAGGGAAAAACCTCCAAATTTTAAGGGTTCCAAATTTGTAAAAACTTTAATTAAATTTTATTTTGGGAGGCAAGGTGTTATTTGTTTAAGGGTACTGAGCTCCATTCCCATGTACTTTCAGAAACTATTTATATATAATCTAATTTTATTTGTTTGTATAGATACATGTATCATTTCCAGTCATGGAAACATATTAGGGGTAAAATGGAAAGACAGAAAAGAAGCAGCAGCTACAGCAATGAACTCTGTAGAAATCAAATTGTTTAAGCAAAGCCATTTCTGTGTTAATCATTTACCAGAGGTTTTCAAACCAGGCTCAAGGTTCAAACTTTATTAACGTCGGGTGTGGTAACGTTCCTGGCGGTGTGAAGTTTTCCTTTCGCGGGCTCCCTGTCTGCCGCGGGTCACGCCGTCCTCCCGCGGAGGCCAGTGGCCAGGGGCGCCGGGGCCGGGCGGGCCGGGGAGCCAGTCACACCACCACCACGCTCCTCCGGCGAGGTTATTAAAGCCGGGGTATCAGATACGGGTGACCACCAAACTCACAGCTCTGTATCAACTATAAACATTTCAGCAAAAAGATGTGGCAGATAGTTATTCGCTCTTCTGAAGAAACCTTTCTCCAGCGTAGTCGTTCATTACCAAAGAAAACATTTGCTTTTTCCTCTTTCTTCCATCTTTACAGCAAAGAAAATAAATATTCTCCCCGATACAACTCAGAACGTGCATGCTCCCATACGCCAAGCCTACTAACACTATAACATTATTTAAGAAAATATACTGCCTTCCTGTTACTTTACATTGCTAAACAAACAAAAACAACCCTCTAGTAAGGTGATGAAGAGATTAATACTTTCAGCAACTAAAATTAGTAGTCATTTACAGTCTACAACTTGAAATTCTTCACGAGCACATGAAAGCTTAGAATGGTCAGCCTTGATCACATTTTCTCTGGAACAGCACCCAGCCCTAGCACAGTTCTGCTGAAGGGTAAGGTCTTTTAAAAAATGCAAATTAAATTAGCACCAGTAGCAAGTTACACACGTGCAGTGAGAACTTGCTTAATAGTTTAAAAACTAACTGCATTTTAGGAAAATGGCTGCATGCTACAGAACAGAGGAAGGAGCATCTTGGGAAATCTGTGGGG